CTCCTTTTCATTGTTTTAGTCTATTAAATGCATAACATTTATATTAAAAACAGCTTCTTCATTTATTAAAACGTTACTTTTATTTTATATTTCTACTTATTTTACTTTATTATAAAAACAGAAATCATTTGTTTCGCTTTTCATTATATTTTCGCCATAAACTAATGCTCCCTTAATATTTATTAGATTCTATTTATCTTTAATTTCATAATTTTTAATAGAAATCAACTTGATACATAAAAATTCTTACTTAACATCATTTTATTACCCAAATTTTGATTTAAATGAACTAATTTTTGAATCATGTTAAGCTATAAAAGAATCTCTTTGAACCCTATTTGTTGAAAAATCAAAATTATCTTTATCTACTTTATATACTGATACATTTCTATTTTTTAAAACTAAGGTACTTTTTAATCTAATTTTTAAGAACTATTATTATCATTATTTATTTATTAGATTTCCTTTTTTTGTTTTAATATATAACAATATTTATATTATATACATAAACTATTTCTATTTCATTTTAATTTTTTTATTATTAAAAAGGAGGTCTTTAAACAGGCGGGTCGTATAAATTTTATTTTCTAAAACCTGAATTAAATATTCGGTCAATAAATAATTAAATTAACTACCATCCTAAATCATTATCTTCTTAATCAGTATATATTATTAATAGTTAATATTAATTTATTTATTATTGTTTTTATATTTGTTTGAGAATTTTATTTATATCTAATTAAAAATCATTTAAATAGTCTAAATTAAGAACATTTTAGTTATTAATATTTTATAATTATATATTTTAAATATTATTTAATTCTTACAATAACTATTAAATAAATATAAATAAAATTAGAAAATATATATATATATATATATATATATATATATATATATATTTTTTTTATAACATTTTCATTTTCAAAAACATAAGCTTTAATTGTTAAAACTATAGGATTATTAAAATTTATAATTTCGTAAATTTTTAAAGAAAATCCATTTAATTATTATTAATAATCGTTATTTTTTTAATCTTCTTCTTAAATATTTATATGTTTTTAATTTCTAATATTACTTTCTTTTAAATTTCCACTATTATTTTAATTTCTATTATTATTAAAATCTTATCTTTTATTATCATTTATTATATTATTTGAATCTTAGCTATTATTAACACCTATCTTATTATTATATTCTATACTATTATTAATATTCCTATTATTTTATTAATTTTGAGGATGTATATATTCTTTATTATTAAAATCTTAACCGTTATTTAAAAATCTACTATTATTTTATTATATACTATTATTAATATTCCTATTATTTTATGAATTCTTAGAATTTACTAATTCATTATTTAATGGTTACATATTATCCAATTTATTATTAATAAAATCTTAACCATTATTTACAAATCTAGTATTATTTTATTATATACTATTATTAATATTCCTGCCATTTTATACATTCTTAGAGTTTACTTATTCATTATTATAAGGTTAAATATTATCTAATTTATTATTATTATTAAAATCTTAACCGTTATTTTAAAATCTAATATTATTAACATTCCTATTATTTATGAATTCTTAGAATTTACTAATTCATTATTAAAAGGCTACATATTATCCAATTTATTATTAATAAAATCTTAACCGTTATTTTAAATCTAGTATTATTTTATTATATACTATTATTAATATTCCGATTATTTTATACATTCTTAGAGTTTACTTATTCATTATTATAAGGTTAGATATTATCAAATTTAGTATTATTATTATTATAATCTAAATCATTATTTAAAAATCTATTATTATTTTATTTTGTATTATTATTGTTAATATTTCCAATATTTTATGCATTCTTAGAATTCATAAATTCATTACTAAAAGGTTACATGCTATATAATTTATTTTTATTATTATAATCTAAACTATTATTTATAAATTTATTATTATTTTATTCTAAACTATTATTAATATTACGATTATTTTATACATTCTTAGTATTCCTTAAATCACTTTATAAAATTTACTTATTATCATATTTATTATTATTAAAATCTAAACAACTATTAATATTTTGATTTAAATTATTATTAATATTTGGATTATTTTATTCTATTTAAGGATTCATAAATTCATTATTAAAAGGTTATAGATTATTAAATTTATTTTAGTTATTACTAAAATCAAGACAGCTATTCACGTTTTTATTATTATTTTGTTTTATAATATTTTAATTATTTTATACTATTTAAGGATTCATAAATTAATTATTAAAATGTGAAGAAATATAAGATTATTTATTATTATCTATACTATTATTATTATATTAAGAGAAACTTTATACATCTAAGTCAGCTTTATTTAATAAATCTAAAACTTATTAAGTTTATTCGTTTTTAAAATGTACTTTTTAATTTCTTTATCCTTAAAAATCTTCGAATAATTCTTCATCGCTACTTTATTCTAAATCTACACAAGGAAGAGGTATAATTTCCTTTAAATAAATATAAATATTCATATATAAATATAAAAATATATGAATAAAAATACAAATAAATATAAATATATATAAATATATATTATATATATATATATATATATATAAATACTTATATATATATTCATTAATTTAATATAACAATAAATATATATTTTTTACAAACTACATAATTATTTCTGATTTAGATTTTGTTTGATTAAATGGTGGATTTTGAGTTGGTGGTTCATATAAATTTACTGAATATTTTCCTTTATTAAAATTTGTTTAGTTAGTGTATAAATGAAAAATATCCCATCCTATTAATTACGAATCACGATTAAAGATATTTAATAATAGACGAAATTTGGATAGAGTTTCTATTATTAACTTTTAATTTTATAGATAAGGACTTAGATTTACTTCTATATCTCTTTTAGATTATCCATATACCTTTGTATTATCAGTTACAGCCCTTTAACATTAAATAATTGTACTAAAAAGACAACTATCTCCATTAATATCTACAAAAACTTCATCTCCATATAATAAAGCTCCTTTAATATTAATAATATTTCCCATATTTTCATCTAAATTGGAGATTTTTTTAAATTTAAAACGGAAACCATTTTATCCTTCTATATTTTCTACACAAATTAAATTTTATTATTTTTTTTTTTTTTTTTATTCATAATTTGGCGAATAATTATAATGTATTAATTTTGTAGGCAATAAATTATTTTTTTAAATTTCGGCTGGTAAATCATGTAAATCTTAAGAAAAAGGAGTATTATTTTATTAAAATAAGTTTTTTTTTAATATATTAAATTAATTATTATATTATTACTTTTTTTATATATATAAAAATAAAATTAATAAATATATATATATATATTACATTATTTGTATTATCATATTATAAATGCCTAATTAAATTTAAATGATTATTATAAATATTATATTCAGGTGTATTTATCGGTGTTTATCTTATATTTAATAATAAATCATGTTCCATGGCTTTAAAATATTCATATTATCCTACCTAACCTCCAAAAAAAGCAGCGGGTTAATTATAACTGTTTTATAATGAATTTAAACCAGTATACGCAAGACCAGCATATTTTTATCTTTCAAGTAAGCTTTATACTTTATCAAATACAAAATGCTTTTTGTTTTAGAGATAAGGATTAAATTTTTTATGAAAGTCTTAAAGTTCTTTCTTATTGATATTTATATATATAAATATATAAATATATATTTATATATATATAAATAAGTACATGGCTATTAATATTATTATTATATATTCATATCTACTTAATTCGGTATTTTCCGAATACTTATTTAATTTTATTATATATCATATTATTATTAATTTTAATATTTTTCTTATAATATTAAAGAAGGTGTTTTTGATATTTATTCCTTTTTTTTTTTGATTAAATACCATTTTTTATTTATTTATTTTTGTTACTTTTGATTATATAGGAGAATGGATTACTTTTTGGAATTTTTATTAGGGAATTTCTTCCATTTTTTTTTTTTATTTTGTGTTTTAAATAATTTATTGGATTATTTTAATTTTATTTTATTCTTTTTTTTTTTTTTTTAAAAAAAAAAAAAAAAAAAAGGAAATAATTTATATTTTTTTTTTTAAATATATATTTATATATAACAAAAATAATTAAATATATATATTTTTATTAATATAAATATAAAATTTAATATTTTTTATTTTATTTTTTATCCGAAAATAAATTTATAAATAAAATACAAATTAAAATTTTGTATTTAATTGTAATAATATCTATACTCGAAAAAAAAAAAAAAAAAAAAAAACCCTAAAAAAAAAAAAAAAAACACTAAAAAAAAATGTTATCAATATCAGATGAAACCTCCATATAAAATCAATTCAAAGCCATAATATTGTAATTTGACATTTTTTAAAAGCAAGAACAATAACTTCTTAATCTTCCCCTTAGTAATAAAAATAGAAACAAATCTAAAACATTTAAAAAAAAATAGATATAAAAAAGTAATTATTAGAAGATGACTATAATTATCGGATACAATAAGACTTTTCCTCCTTAGGAAAAAACGAAGAACATATATTTTAATACTTTATTGAATGTATGGAATAAAATGCTCGAATAGAGGACACTTAGAAGCTTTTTTATTACATCTTATATAGAATCCAAAAATAATAATCTATTAAATATTTCGAGGAAAACTAAGGCTTCGATTTAATAATATCCGCTATAATTTAATATTAATAAAATCGATAAGAAGACGTTCATAAAATGCTTCTTTTAAAAATTTTATAAATACTAGTTTGTTCTGAGAATTCCAAAAATTAAAATGAAACAAATGTTTTTTTGACTAATTTGATTAATTAAGACTATATAAACCTTCTTTTTGATTTAATTAATAAAAATTAGGTTGAAATAACTAATTCTATTATAAATTTATTAGATACTATATCATGGTCATGTGAATAAGGCTTCAAAATGGTCATTTAAGGCTTCGATTATATTAGAAAATAAAAATAATTATCATCAAGATTTGGTGTATTAAAAGAACTACTAAATGAAAGTAAAAATGCGATTTTTATACTTAATATATGTATGTTTATATAATCGTTTTGTGAAGCAGGAAAATAAAATAATTTAAATGAAAATATTTTCGAACAATTATAAAATGATGGATATATGAATATTTTTTAAGTATATATAATAAATATATTAATAGTTTTTATAATTAAATAAACAATTTATATATAAATTAAAATAGCAAATATTTCTTAATATAAAAAGTTTATATTATGGGGTTATTGATTGCTCTTTTACAAATGAGGATTATTAATAAGTTTTACCTTAAGATTTATTTTATGCAGCTAATTATAATTCTAGAGGCGAAGAAAAAATGTTTTATAAAAAAGATGAATTTTAAATATTTAATTATAAGTTGATATAATTATTTGTATCAATATATGAAATTTAGGAACTAAATGTAGATAATAAAAAAGGATATATATTATATTATATATGTATAGAATATATATATAAATACAAATATATATATATATATATATATATATATATATATATATATTAATTGATATATATATATATTTAAATTTATATATATTTTTTTATTTCATAGACCGAATAATTATATTGAATAATAGATTAATTAAATAATTAATTTAATAATAATTATTAATAAAAATCAAACGATAAATAATTTTATGTTAAGCTTGAAGGCATTTAAAAATTTCGAAAAATAGTTAATTAAAGTATTAAATAAAATCAAAAAAAATAAACTAGTGTTTATCTTGAATTATAGTAAGCTTAATCTTATATTAGATAACAAAATATAGAAATCGAAAAACTAAAAAGAGAAAACGAATTACTTAAATCATAAAAAGGCGAAGAAAACAAAATTAAACAAAAATAAGATTAATTAATAGGAAAACATATAGAAAAGGAACTTTACGAAGAAAAATTAGAAGAAATATAATAATTAAAATAAGAAACCTTAAAATACTAAGTATATATAATACTTATTATTAATATTTTTTTTTTCTTTTCTTTTCATATTTTATTTTAAAAAAAAAACTTATACAAAAAATAATATAAAAAAGACTATAATAATCTACTTTTTTAAAAATATATTTGTAAATAAAAAATATAAAAAAAAAAAAAATATTAAAAAGTTATATATAAATTTATAAATATATAAATATATATATATATATATATATATATATATTATATTTATATATATATAAAGATTCTTGTAGAAAATCATGAAAAAGACCTAAAAGGAAACGATCGAATATAATAATTAAAAGCTTAAGTTATCCAACTAACAAAAGAAAAAGAAGATGAAAAATAAAAACACACTTAAGAAATCGTGGAATTAAAAACCTAAATTTAAAAAATCTAACAAAACTAAATATCTTCAAATTAATAAACCGCTTTATAACCTTAATTTTCTCAAAAACAATAAACTAAAATACCTCCTAAAAATAATATTCCTCCGCCTCCCTAACCTCCAGGCAGTATTCCTTTGCCTCCACATGGTATTCCCCCTTCTCCAGGTGGAATTCCCCCTCCTCCAGGCGGAATTCCTCTACCTCCAGTCGGAATTCCTCCACCTCCAGGCGGAATTCTCCCTCCTCCAGGTGGAATTCCTCCACCTCCAGGCGGAATTCCTCCACCTCCAGGTGGAATTCCTATGCCTCCTGGTTGTATACCTATGGCTCCTGGTGGTATTCCCCCTCCTCCTGGTGGTATTCCCCCTCCTCCTGGTGGAATTCCCCCACCTCCTGGTGGTATTCCCCCACCTCCTGGTGGTATTCCCCCTCCTCCTGGTGGAATTCCCCCACCTCCTGGCGGTATACCTATGGCTCCTGGTGGTATACCTATGGCTCCTGGTGGTATACCTATGGCTCCTGGTGGCGTACCTATGGCTCCTGGTGGCGTACCTATGGCTCCTGGTGGTATATCTATGCCTCCTCCTGGTGGTATGCCTTAGATCCCAGGTGGAATTCCTTAATAAATATAGAAAAAGAAATAAAATCCTGGAGTACCTATGAAAAGTGTAAATTGGTAAATAATAAAATACACTGAACTAAAAGGAACTATATGGGAAAATATGAAAGACCTAGAATTAAAACTAGATGAGTAATAATTAAAAAATGAATTCGGTACAAAAGCTTAAAATATGGTCACGAGTACTAATAAAAATCAAAATTTATAATAATAATAAAAGAAAATAACCTTTTTAACGCCAGAAAGACAATAAAATATTCTAATTTTATTGGGTAAAATAAGAATAAAAGGTGAAATAATAGTCGAGTCATTGATTAAATATGACCTTTAAATACTCACTCAAGGCATTGTTATTACATTATTAGCTTCATTACCTAATGAGGCTGAGTGTAATTTAATATAAAACTATGAAGGAGAAATCGATTAACTATCAGATGCGGATAAGTAATAAAAAAAGTATAATTTTTAAAGTTTATTTATGCATTTTTTGGGCATAGATACTTCAAATTGCTAGTCGAAAATGTACAAGGATATGAAGAAAGACTACAGGCATTAAAATTCAAGTATATTTTCCAAGAAAGCTATTAAGAGACACTAAATAAAGTAAAAAAAATCAACTTTTTTTTCAAAAATCTTATGGAAGATAAAAACTTATTCAAAATCCTTGAATATGCGCTTGCAATAGGAAATTTCTTAAACGGAACCGGTTTTAAAGGAGGTGCATGGGGTTTTAAAATTTAATCTCTAGAAAGAATTTCCGAGGTGAAAAATTATGATAATAAATAAAATTTATTATGTTTTATAATATTAACTGCGGAAGAGAAGGAAGTAAATTCTGAAAATATAATATATATTTAAATATGTATATGTATATATATATTCATATGTAAAAATAATATATATATATATTATATCCAATTTATAGGGAAAATAACTAGTGTTTTTAAATGAAAATTTAAGTGATATAGAAGAAAGTAGTAGAACATCTATAAATTCTTTAATTTCAGATACTAATGATATTAAAAAATCAATTAGAATTCTAGAAAATGTTTTAAAGAAAAAAATTGGTTAATTTGATAATGCTAGTAGCATTATTTAACCGTTTTATGAAGAAGTTATACCCAAATTTTAAATTTTAGATGGTTTAGTAAAAGAAACAGAAAATGAATATAAGAATTGCGCTGAATATTTCAGCGAAGATCCGAGGAAAATTCAATCTGATGAGTTTTGTGCTTATTTATTTAATTTTAAAAAATAATGCATAGAATAAAAAAGGAAATTATTATAAATGAAAAAAAATTGAATTTTTATTATTTTTATTTAAATAATATATATATATATATATATGTATAGTTTTATAACACATTATATATATACATATAATTTTTAATAAAGAAAACATAAATAATATTTTATTTTATTTCCCCCCCACCCCCTCTTTAAATTGAGAATATAAAATTTATAAATAATAAGAATTATGATTTATTATTTTAATTAAATACATATATATAAAAATACTATTTTTGAAATTTTTTTATTATTAAATTTCCTAAAAATTTGATTAATTAAATATATATGTGTTTTTTAATATTTATATATATATATAAAAAAACAATTATAATTAAATTAAAAAAATAATATTAATATTTTTTTAATTTTTTATTTTGCTTTTTTTTTTTTTTTAGGTTTATAAAAAATACTAAATTAAAACAAAACTAAAAAACTAAAAACATGGAATTATTTCAAAAACAATTAAATGATTAATTAAAAATAGCCCATTTCTGTTCTACATTAATCCAAGAGTAAATAGAAATATTAAACACGATCCAAACTTCCCTAAACAATACCACTGCTTAATAATTAGACAATTAATTTGATTTAATAAATGATACCATAAATATGCTTTAATAAAACCTCCAAATTGCAAAATCCTTTAATATATAATAGAGATCAAAATTAGATTAAAATAAGGAAAATAATAACAATAATTAATCGTAACAATAAAATATAATATAGTGTAATAAAGATTAAAAAGAAAGAATTTAGAATTTAAGAAGAATGGAAGAATTCGAATAATAAATGGGTTTGACAATTCCTTAGATTTTTAAAAGTAATTGTGAGAATAAAAAAAGAAAGCATATAATTCCAAGATTAAAATAAAATGATTATGAAGATCTATAGATTATTTATTAAAAGCTTCATGATAAAAATGATTTCCATAGACTCTTAGGAATCAATATTTTAACAGGCTTAAATATTTAAAAAAACTTCCCAAATTCATAAGGAATAGTAATTAAAAAATAAAAAAATAAAAAAATCGATTCAATAAATAATAATAATAAAGACAATAATATTTATAAAAATATCAATAACAATGAAAATATATTCTATTCAAATTCTTCAATAAGTAATAAATATTAAAAAGAAAACATATAAAATAATGATTTTAATGATAAATATTATTTAAAATGAATTATAGAAACTTACGTTTTTCGTATTTTAATTGAGACTTTAAATATATATATAAAATTATATATAATATATATATATATATATATATAATAAAAACATATATAAATATATGTATTTATATATATTTATATCAATATATATATATTAAATTATTTGTTAAAATAAATAAAATTTTCTTATATTTTTTTTGAAATAGTTTTTTTATTTCTATCATTATCCATCTTAATCATTTATATAATCAATAAAATCTTAAACTTTTTCATTAATACTATTGATTTTCTTTTCGAAACTAATCAAATTTACTATATTTGATTCAAAATTTCCTTATTATTTTGCATTAAAAGTTATCAAAACATACTCTTTATAGATTAGTTCGAGTTCTTTTTTGATTATCATTAAAGCTTTTTTTTCTCTATTTATATTTTTGTTATGTTTGTTTTAACTATTATTTTAATCATCAACAGTCTAAATACTATATTAATTTGAATGATTATCCTTTAAATACTCAATTTATTCTGTCAAATTATTCATTTAGCTGATTGCTTTTTCTCTTTTATCTTACATTTCTGCCACTTAAGTTTCCAAAGTATTAATATAAGTATTTTTTTATTCGATTTAAGAATTTAATTAGTCTATAAAAGCTATTTTTTATTAAAAGCTTTCCTAAAGCATTTAATATTCATTTTTTAAATTTTAAAAGACAATATCTTTTTAAAGTATATTTTATTTATTTATTAAAATCTATATTTAATTTTCTAATTCTTATATTTTATTGTCTTTATTTTCGATTTCTGAAAAGTTCTTATTTTAACAATCAACTAAGGCTTTATTTAGGTTTTGAATTCTTTCCTTTAATTCTTTAATTTTATTTTTTTCATTTTTTCTTTTCTTCTATAAATATAATATATACTATTTATCTTTTTCCATTTATTCTTATAATTTTAAATTTTCCTCTATTTTTTCCTTGTTTTTCTCTTCTAATCTAATCTTTTCTTTACTCTTTTGTTCATTCTTTAATTTCTCTTAAATAACTTTATTTTCTAAGTCTTTTCTTTTCAATAAATTCTATTCTTCCTATTCTTTTTGAAACTAAACGCATTTTTCATGAATATTTTTGTCTTATTTTTGACCTTAAAGTAGTATATTTTCCATCCTTTTTTCAAGTTCTTACTGAATGCTTTTCTATTTAATCGCATCTTCATATAGTAGTTATTTCTAAATATTAAAATCTTCGATTTAGTATTTAAATTCTTCAATTTATTTATTTAAATGATTTATTTTTATTAATTATTCTTCATTTTTTTTCTCCAAATTTTTCATTTCGTTCATATTATTAAATTTCTTCTCTTTTTCTTATAATTATTAGTTGTTTTTTTTGTTAATTTAGTTATTTCATGCTACAATTCCTCATTTAAACATAAAAGTTATCTTCTATATATTTATTCTTATTCCAATTATTCCTATAGTTATTTATTTTCTTCTTTTTTTTCCAGTAAAATACCTATATTAACATTCAAATCATTCAATAAAGGCTAAATATTCTATTCATTTTTTATATTTTAAGTTATTTATTATAAAAATTCACTTAATAAAGGTGCATTTTATATGTTTATTTACGGATTATTGGACATATTCTTCTATAATTCTTTATTTAATAAACTTTATATAGTAATTAATTACTATTAATATTCTTCGCAGTCATCAAATAGCTTATTTCTTTCTTAAGCGATTTAATTAAACTTTTCTTTATATATTTTTAGTTCTTTTTTTTACTCAAATGATATTTTTTCGTACATTTCTATTATTTCTTTTAATTCAGATGGAGGGAGTTTATGAAAATACGAAAATTAATGTTTATATTTTTCTTAAAAGAATTCTTCCCAAATTGTTTCTGGTTCTTTTTATTATATATTAATCATATTTTTTTTTTTTTTCTATTTTAATTTTATTTATTTTTGTTAATATTATTTATTTTTATTAAAAATTAATAACATATTATATATATAATAAATAAACTTTTATTTTTTTTTATTAAAAATATATAAAATTATCCTATTATAAATATATAGGGGGATGATAATATTAAATACATATATATATAAAAAATTTGAAACCAAACCAAAAAAAACAAAAAAAATTTAAAAAACAAAAAAGTTTATAAGAATAATCAAATATTCCTTTTGGTAAAAAAACAAAAAATAAAGTCATACAAAATTAATTTTACGACATTAAAATATACAAAACCAACTTAATTAATAAATTAGCAATCAAAATACATAGAAAAGCAATATTACTAATATAAAATATGTATTAAACCTAATTTGTATACAAAAATTAAATATATTTCACGAGACATATATGGTTTTAAAATTATATATGTCAAATAATAAAAAAAAAAAATCCTTATGAAAGATATTTAAAGAATAAAAAATTATATAAGATCTCTATTATTAAAAAAAAATTACCTTTACCTTTAATAAACTATAATTTTTTCAAAATAAAATAATATATTGAAAAAGAAAACCTTGAAAAGATAATCAAATATCTTATAAAAAAAAAAAAAAAATATTTTTATAAAATATAAACACAATAATGATTAAATAAATTTAAATTTCATTATATATATAAAAAAAAATATAACAAAAAGAAGTTATATTTAAATTATACAATAAAAACACATTGATTTTAATTAAATATAAAAGCAAACCATATATAAAGAGAAAAAAAAAAAATAGTAATATTAATTATTAAGTAATTTTTTCATATACAAAGCATTAAAAATATTAATTTTTATGTATCTTATATATAAAAATATATATATATATATATATATATATATATATATATATAAATTTATATATATCTATATCTTTTTAGATTTTAGCTATTTTTTGTTTATATTTATTAGAAAAAAATATATAAAACAAGTTTTTTATTTAAAATTTAGAAATTTTTTTTTTTTTTTGAATATTAAATAATAAATATATATATATATATATATATTATTTTATTTTTTTTCATTTTTTTTAAGAAATTTTTTTATATTTAAAACATGGAAAACATCCTTTTTGATTTTTAGTGTTTTTTTTTTTTTTTTTAAACTATGATTTTTTTATATGTTCTATATTTTTTTATTCCCATTTTTTAATATCGAACATTAAATCAATAATCTATTTATATTTTAAATTATGAGTTATACAAACAGTATCTAAATATCTTAAATTTGACTAAAATATTAAATTATAGTATATTTCATATATCTCTTTAATATTATTTATAATAATATCCGAAATATATTCTTATGTTCCTGGATATATAATATCTTGTTCGAATGTCATACCCATAATTTTACTTTAAGTATACTATAATAACTTAATTATTTCCTTCCAAACTACACCATATTATTAAATTAAATATTTTTTTTGTTCTATATCAGCTAATCCTCCTAAAAACTCAACTAAACGCATTTATTAAGCATTTTCTATTGTATTTAATAACTATTTTTTATATTTTTCTATAAGTTCGTAACTGTTAATTATTTAAGGACTTAAATTTGAATTTGAAGATGTTTGATTTATGTTTGTGGTATTATTATTTTGATGTGTTTATGTTTCTATTTAAATTTGATCTTTTTATTTATTATACGGGTGTACTTTATTATAATCATTCTTCATTTTTTGGTTACAAGTTTATAATATAAAACTGTAAAAAGCAAATAATTTCTATTATATATTTAATGTAAAAAAATAAAAAAAAAAATTATTATTACTTTTTATAAATTTATATTAACAAAAAAATAAAGATTAAAAATATATAATAATATTTGTTTTTATAAATTTAATAATTAATCATAACAATATATATAAAAATATATAAGTTTAAAATAATATATATACATATGACATAAAAATATGTCATATAAAATTATAAATACATCATAATTAATAATTTTCCCAATATATAAACAAAAATCAAAAAAACACACACTAAAAAAAAAAAATAAAAAAATAAAAAAAAAAAAAATAAAAAAAAAAAAAAAATAATAAAAAATGCCCTAAAAAAAAATAATATATAGAAAATCTCCTTAATATAGATAACATTTTATAAAAAGAACCCCAAATTAAAATAGTTTCTATAAAAAAAGATACCCATATTTCTATATAGAAGGTCATAGAGGAATCGGACTCCATGAAGCCCATAACAGTATAAGTTCATTTTAAGGATCAATAGATATGAACTTAGACTATGTAGAATTAGATATATGGTTGTCTAAAGATAACAAAGTAGTAGTCGTACATGGATGTTAAGGAAAAGTTTTGTAATTAATAAAAAAAAAAAAAAAGAAATTTTTTTTTTTTTTAAAAAAAAAAATTAAAAATAGAGATGCAAATGGACAAGAAAAATAAATTACGGAAATGTCAGTTGAAGAATTAAAAAAAATTTCATTAAATGAAAAAAATGATTTAATTCCTACTTTAGATGAAATACTTAGATTATGTAAAAATAAAATCAAAATAAATATAGAAATGAAAGGAGATTAAAAAGATTTACCTTATGAAACATTAAAACTTGTATAAAAATATTAAATGTTAGATTAAGTATATTTTTCGTCTTTTTTTCATTAATTTAATGATTTAATTAAAGAAGCTATAATAAAGCTAAATATAGAATAAAAAATTAAATTTGCTTATTTATTTTCTAATCAATAACAATTTCCGGATATTAATAATTTAGAAGAAGGAAATTAACTCAATTTTTCGTCTCTACTTATTTATAATTAAAAAGCTAGGAAATTGTTTAAATAAGCACAAAACAAAAATGTGAAATTGTGTTGTTATTTTGGATATGATGTTTTAGAAAATTATGGAGTCTATAAAGATTTGCTTGATATAGGAGTATAATCAATTATTACAAATTAGCCTTTTACAATACTAAGTTTTAGAAAAAATATTTTTAAAAATTGAATGCTTCTTTTTAAAATATTTGTTAATTTAAATACGTATATAAGTAATTTTAATTTTATTTCCCTTAAATATATTTAAAAAATTAATAAAAAAAAGAAAAAAAATTAATTTTTTTGTTTATATTTAAATAAATTTAATCTAAAATCGTTTTTATATTATTTAAAATAAAATCTATGACAAAAAAATATACAATTTTTTTTTTAAAAAATAAATAAATTGTTTCTAATAAATAACAAAAAATATTTTAAAAAACTAAAATTTATAAGACTTTTATTAATTGACATGATTTAATTATTTTTTTATTTATCTTTCAAATTAAAAATAATTTTAGCTTTAAAAAAATAAATTTATACAAATATATATTAATGATGTAAAAATATAAAATGAATATAAAAATATTATAATTATAAATTAATGTAAATTATATATATATATATATATATCTTTATTTTTCTATATATTTTATTTTATTTACTATTTTATACATATTTTAATTATCAATACATATTTAATTTATTTAAAAAATATTAAAAAATAATATTTTATATCATTAAATTTTTTTTTTTTTCTTTATTTTTTTTTTTTAATTTATTTTATATTTTCTTTATTTCTTTCATTTTTCCTTTTTTTTTTCTTTTTTTTTTTATTTTTATTTTTATAATTTTTTTTTTATTTATATTTTTTTTTAAGTTAACTATAATTAATTTTTTTTTTAACTAGAATAGTAAATTATATTTTTAATTTTTAATTTTCATTTATTTTTCATTTTTTTTAATTTATTACTTTCACTTTATTTAAAATTTTTTGTTTTTTTTTAAAAAATATAAACTAATAATTTTTATATTTTTAAACTTTATTCATATTTTTATCTGTAAGTCTTTAATAGCTACCTTAAATACTCACAAATATATTTATATTTTATTTTTTAATTTTTTCATATTATTTATTATTTATTTTTATTTTAATTTTTTAAATTTTAATAATTTCAATCTTTTATTTATTTTTTTTATTTTTTATTTACACTTTTTTTTCATTTTTATAATTTACATATTATTATATTTTTGTTTGTTTGTTTGATAAATATTACTTTATATTACAATTTCAACATTTTTTTATAAAATTTTAATAATTTATTTACTATTTAAATCATTCCATTTAATATAAATTAAATATTTTTAAATTAATTTTTTCTTAATGATTATATTATATATATTTAAGGTTTTAAAGTTTATCTTATTTATATTTTAGTGAATATTTGATAAGTTTTAAATACTAAAATATATTTTTTAAAAAATATTTATTAGATAATATAATAAAAAATTTTGTTTTTTATTTTCTATTAAAAAAATGCATTATATTATAAGTTTTTATAAATTATTTATTATGTTAATTTTCCATTTTTTTATATATTTCTTAAATAATATATTCTAAATTTTATTTATTTCTTATAAAAAAAATTATGGATTTAAAATAATAGACAATATTAAATAAATAAGAATTATTTAAAATAAATTAAACATTCTTTATTTTTAAATGATATAATTAATATATTGAAATATTATTTTTAGTATATATTTAAATCTATAGGATATTTATCTTTATTACATTAATATTAAATTGTAATTATAATTTATTATAAAAAATTAATAATATTTATAAAAAAAAACAATTATATATAGAATTATAATAAAACTTCTTTAAAAATATCGAAAAATAATCATATATTAATTTAAAATAAACAATCTTTTAATCTAGTTATTTTTTAAGAATTATCTTTGATAATTTAAAATAATATATTATTGAATTTAATTCAATCAGCATTTTATTATTATTTATTATTAGGAAAAAAAATAAAAAATTAATTTAAAAAAAATTAAAAGTAATTATAAATTTATTTAAAAAAAAATAATAAAAAACAAATATTAACTAAAAAAAAAAAATTTCATATTTTTTATTTAAATTATCATAAATATAAAGGCAAATTTTAAGTAATTTTTTTTAAAAAAATCTTAAATATGAAATAAATTACTATATATATATATATATATATATATATATATATATATATATTTGATTACACATATATAATTATTTAATTTATTATTTATTATAATATTTCTTAATCAAAAAAAATATTTACAAATTTTATAAAAAAATAAATATAAAATTTAACACAATTTTATCTAATTTAAATATTACAATTTATTTTTTTCTTATTCTTTTCATAATTCATATTTCTTATTAATAAGTACAATTTCAATTTTTTTTTAATTATTATTTTAATAATTCATTATTTTTTAATAACTAGTATTATTTTATACTACATTATTACTTTTTATTGTATTTTTACAACTAATTTATTAATTTTTTTTATTATTTTTCTATGGTATTTTTCTTTTTCTCATTTTCTGCATTGATAAATTATAATTAAAAAAATTAAAAAATATAGAAAAAAAATATTACTTCTTCCATTTCTAAATAATTTAAATTAACAACACCAAGTTATGAGTTTTTTTATAAATTTAATTGCCTTTAACTTTTTATTTGAACAAAAGCTATTTTTTATATGTATTAGTAAAAATAAATATAATAATTCTTTTTTTGAAAAAAAATAAAAAACATTTCAAAGGTTCTTTTTCTTTTGAATCTCTATCTTTAATATCATTTAAAAGATTTCTATGAGTCTAATTTATAAATAGTCTTTAAATTTAATTAATATCTTAAGTACTTCCTTTTAATTGATCTTTCACAAATCTAATTTTTTATTTATAATTATAAGAAATTTTATTTTTTGTTTAAAAAAAAAAAAACAAATTTTTTTGTAATTAACATCACATCTTCTTTTTTTATATTTCTACTTTGTTTTTATGGTATTTAATTTACTTAATATATTAATTCTGTTGCGAATCTTGAAGCAAATTCATTTAATTTTTAAATTAATTCTTCTTCATAGTTAATTTCGAATTCTTAATCTAAAATTTACTTTATTTTATTTTACATTTTTTTATTATAATAAATATTTATATTATTATATCTAAAATAAACATAAAAAATAATAATATATTAATATATAAATATATATTTATATATATATATATATATATATATAATTTATTATTTTTAGTTTTTTTTTAATTAAATT